TTACTGAAATAAATGAACTTTTCCATGACATTCTAATTTATTGAGATGCACCTGTATATATATTTATATATATATATATAATTGTTTCTATTCAATTAACTTAAAATAATTTTTAATAGTTTTAGTTAACTAACAATACTGTACTGTTTTAATACTGGTGCCAAGGTATTCCTTTCCTTTCATGTTTATGCTCTTCTTCAACACATAAATGGAGAGAAAGATCAAAAGCAACCTCACAGCAAAAAAAGAGATAGTTTGCAATGCTGTTGCCATTAATCCACCACTGCAGCTGGTAATTATGTGCTTTGAATTTGCTGTATTTGTCCATTAAGACTGATCATTATTTCTTTATTTCATCTCAGGAAAAACACAGATGAGGTAGCTTTACTGTCAGCCGGAGAGACCAGTAAAAAGTGGCCCGAGATGGTAATTCGTTTTTACGAGGACAAGCTGACCTGGCATGGAGAAGACGAGCAGTGAGAGAGAAATATGTAGCACTGGATACTACTGTACCTCCTGGCAGCTTTAAACATACACAAACACTGTGGCATAAGTTTACTGTTTGATGTACCATGTATTCAAAACGTGTGAATCCATACTCTAATGTGAAGCTCTTCCCAACACACTAACCTGTAGAAATGTGACTGGAGTATTAGAGCTCTACTGTAGTGTACTGTTTATACAAGTCCACCTAAGTTGATCATTAATCAGATGTTGTTGTATCTCTTGGTCTATTGTTTGAAAGTTCATTTGTGATGTTCATCATTCTGTCCTCTTTGTTACTGTGATCTGAACTGTGATTACACATAGGAGATGATGACAGATGGTACAATAACTGCTCGAGAGGGACTGTTTGATGTGTAGATTACTATCCGTACTATTAACCCCCTGGTTACGCACTTATTCAAGTTATACTGTGATGAATCCTGTGATCTGCGAGTGGCGTAGTGTGGCTCATGCAGGTATAAATCTAGGTTTGCACAAAACTAATTCTAGAATGTAGCCCATACAATCACATTTTTTTTGTGAACAACACTTTTGTTGTAGGTCAGTATCACTTTCATAGCAGTAGTGCAAATAGACCATTGATGTTTTGGGGTTTTGTGATTCAAGCCTTTAATCTGCAGTTTCGATCGTCTGGTTTCCTGTTTTCTGTAAAGATCACGGTTAACCTTCAATCTCGAGTGAGCAAACTCTAGGTGCTTTAAATAAACATAAAATTACCTCAGGAGTGTTTTGGTCATTCTTGTGTTGAATTGCAGTCGTCTTAAATCAAATAACTGTAATTACTGTACCTTTAGTACATTACATTGTAGAAATGAGGCAACCTTTTTCTTAGTAGATTGTCCTTTTAAATATCAAAATGTTCATGATTAGATTTTAAAATAACCAATCAGTGTTATTTTAGAATGAGATACTTTTTACAGTTTTTTTTATTAAATTTGGAAAATCTTATAAAATCTTTTTACATTTATTTTAAGTTTTAGGGGGGTTTATTTGTCTTTTTTTTTAATATGTCTATACATATATATATATATATATTTTTTTTTATATATATATATAAATTAGATGTTGCATTGGAAATTAGCTGAAATGAAATAAGAATTTGTATATTTATGTATGTGTGTATTTATTTATTTACATTTTATTTCAGTAAACATTTTATTTCATGTAATGAACATTTTTTATGGATTTAATTTTTTGGTAAATACAATAACCCTGTAACCTATCAGTAATATCAAGAGGTTTGAAAAGCTACAGGTCAGCTGTACATGAATAACTGTTTAAGTACTGCTAGTTGTTTCAAACATGCAGGCGTTATGATTATGGTACCCATTTTTTCCAGCTGCTTTTTCCTGCTCCTTTTATTTTTATGACGGTGCTAGTCTGCCATGTCTCTGGTGGCTTTTAAAAATGAAGCACCGCTGTCAGTCAGAGACACAAAATGAGCTCAGTTGTTTTTCCCCAGTCTACAGTTCCCATGAATCAGCCCCAGTTGGTCAACAAGACCAATGCCTCATGAAAATACTTCCTTTTTATTCTTCCCATTTTTAAAACCTCTGAGTACTGGCTGTGTGTCCTTGTCCAATGTGAGTTTGTGAGCGTATATACATAAGGTCTTTTCCACCGTTCTTGGACTTATGCAGGAATTCACTGGCGTGTGGGTGAGGGATCCTTGCATCCAGAAAGAGGATTTCTGGCATGCCTACATGGATTATGAAATCTGTATACATGTAAGTGCAATCAGAACATATGATACATGCAAAGTGGTACAAAACGGAGGGCAGAAACGTCCTGACCGTTCTTTGTATTTCATATTCACTCAGACAAACAGTTTGGCCTTCACTAAGAAGAGTTCCTGTGTGCGGCGGAGATACAGTGAATTTGTTTGGCTAAGAAAAAAGCTACAGGAAAATGCCATGCTCATGTATGTAACCATTGCATCCTGTTATTGTTATTTACCTTGTTCAGTAATTGTGCACGGATGGTTAATGGTCAATGGTGTAAAATATGTCCTTGAAAATCAAATTTAAGGTTCGTAGACATAAGTATATCAATTTCATTGATATTCTTCATTATGCATTATAATAACTGGACAGTTATATCACCCCGACATTTTTTTTATTTTGTCACAGAAATTGATCATGATCATCATATAGAAGGTGTACTGAAGTCATTGTACATGTGTGAACTACATTTTATTGTATTTTTTAAAAACAAAGGAAAACAAGCGTCACAGCATTGACCCAATTTGTATCCCAGCTAATATAAATACAAATAGAAAATGTATTGCTATTTACAAATTACTAATTGTTGCTAATTAATAGGGGTTGTTTTAGTATTATTTATATACCATTTTAGTATTTATAAATATTGATTAATTTGGCTTTTTTTTTTTTTTTTAAGTTTCAGTTTTAATTTTATTCATTTAATTTTAGTAATTTTGTTGTAATTTTGATCAACCTAACCTATTTAATTTCAGTTAAAGTTTTTCATCTAATCATTTTTTCCTTTATTGGTCACTTTTGTTTGGGGACCAATTCTCAATATTAACTAACTATTAACTTTAACTTTTGACTCAATAAGCTCCTAATTACACTTTTGTTTGGGGACCAATTCTCAGTATTGACTAACTATTAACTTTAACTTTTGACTCAATAAGCTCCTAATTACTGCTACGAATTCTTAATAGTTAAAGGTAGTTCGTAGGATTAAGGGATGCAGAATATGGTCAGGCTGAATAAGGCATTATTATGCGCTTCATAAGTACTAATAAACAACCAGTATGTTTACTAATAGCAGCAATATGCATGCTAATAAGCAACTAGTTAATAGTGAGAATCGGTCCCCAGAGTGTTACCATTTTATGTTATTTTGGCTTTATTTTAATAAACAAAAACATATTTAATAGATTTAGTTAACAATGACTATACTACCATATTATGCAATTGTGTTGTAGACATATTAAAGTTTCAGTCATTATTGGGCAGTTTTCTATGAGACAAATAATAACTGGACTTCTATGGTTGTCTCTGAATTGCAGAACACATCTACCCAAGCTTCCTCCAAAAAACCCGTTCTTCAGTCTCAACAATGCCAGAGAGATTGGAGCCCGTATGGGAGGGCTCAGGACATTTCTAGAAGAGTAAGTATCATAATAGGCCTAAAGAACATGTTGAAATAAAACATAAAACCATGACTGAAAGAACACATTTACTGTAGCTTGAGAACATGTGACATATCTCACGTACTGCATCTCTTAACTCGCCAAAAAAAAACACAGTAACTGAAATGGTTATGGTTTCTGTGATCAATTACTGTATATGCTTCCATCCTCAAGGGTGGTTCACAGCTCGGTGCTGCTTTCGGACAGTTGCTTACATCTCTTCCTACAGTCCCAACTAAGTGTGAAAAAAATCGAGGCCTGTGCTGAAGGCCGAAGTCGCTACACTGTGTCTGAGGCCATTCACAGTTTTGGCTCAGGAAACAAACGCTTTGAATCTTAATCTGAAGAGAACATGGAAGAAGAAGAAGATATGCACTGTGAATCAGAGCGACTGATTATTTGCTAATAAAATGGAGCCAACTTACAGTAGGTAGGCTACTAAATGCATGCCTAAAGACATTGCTGAGGCAGATAATATTCAACATTGAATATTTCAGCCCATTCTTGAAGAAGGACAATGAAACATGAAAAAAGTTACTGTCATTATTGAAACAGTGTTGTTTTGTCTCGCACTCATACTTTCTGAATCTGAAGATAAAGTTTCATCAAAGATAAACTTTGATGAAGATAACCTAATAAATTATTTAAACCACATTTGCTTACACATTAATGTCTTCCATGGAAATCAAATGAATGTATAAAAGCATAATCTGGCCTGTGTGGAAAACAGTTTGTTGTTAAAACTACAGATGTGTGCTGAGAGGTTTATGAGAGGGAATTTATGCTTGTGACGTCCCTTAAACGCAATAACCTAATAAGCAAACACAGAGCATTAATACATTAGGTGATTTATACCCGACCTCACAGAGCTAAATCATAATAATAATCTCTTCTCAAACAATTTTATTGCCATACTTAGCCATAAAAGATCATTGTCTGGATGTCATACAAATTGTGCCCTCTCATAAATATTTAGCAGTGGTGTGAGGCCAGACATGACCAGCAGATGGCGCCGCAGCTCTTCTGTCTTTCCATGACTGGCGGTCTCATGCCTGCAAAATCATGAACATTCACCAAAGAGAAAAAAAAACTCAAAGCAAGCAGTATTTCCCCTTTTTCAAATCATCCACTGCTTTCACATGCTTTGACTGGGACATGAAATCATCAAGACATTTCAGAACAGGAGTGTATCGCCACAAGCAAGCAGTTTAAGCCATTAAAATAAGGGCCACAAGCATTATCCAATAACCTAAACTAGCCTATATCTGAAATCATCAAGGCGAAAATATATTTTAGGTCACAACAAAGGGTCATGGTGTGGTGGCTGGTTAGTATGGCACCGTCAGAGACATATAAAGGGTTCAATCATACAGTATATATATGATTATAGGATCAAGTGAATGGGAGAAACTGTACCGCTCAATAGGCCTACTGCGCTGTAGTAGAACTTATCACATAATCGAAGTATATAGAAGAATAGAAGTGTCTCTTATAGATATAAAAGCGCTAAATCGCCTTTTACATAAAAACATAGCCTGTACTCTTCAACGCACATGTGCACAGTAAAAATATTACTTATAAATCCTTGTCTGCCGGTAGAGATATAACCAGTCAATAAAAATGTGTTCTAAGAACGTTTGTCTAATGTTCCCATTAAGTTATGAAAACATTATTTCTGAATGTTCTCTTAACATTCAAAATGTACAGTTTAAATGTTTTAAAAACATTTTTGTTGCTCTTACGAATGTTAAGAGAGCATTCAAGTTTATCATTTTGCAAACATATGGGAATGTTACGATTGAATGTTCTCAGTAGTAGAACAACAAAAAGTTAGACGAATGTCCAACTAAAACATTTCAGAAAATGTTCTATGAACGATGTGTAAATAGGCTGTGTTTTGTTTTGTTTTGTTTTTGTGTTTTGTGCGTGCTAGAAGAACGTTTGTTTATCATTTTGCAAACATATGGGAATGTTATGATTGAATGTTCTCAATTTGAAACAAGTAGTAACAACAACAAAAAGTTAGACGAATGTCCAACTAAAACATTTCAGAAAATGTTCTATGAACGATGTGTAAATAGGCTGTGTTTTGTTTTGTTTTGTTTTTGTGTTTTGTGCGTGCTAGAAGAACGTTTCTCTTTGAGAGAACCTCGTAAGAATGTTCTAAGGATGTTCTCTGTTAGCTGGGTATCAAGGTAGGCTAATCATTTTCATTTTAGCAATGTTATGTGTGTTTTCTCTCATTTGTTTACAAACTAGCCATTCATGAATCAGTCAGGTTTGCAAAAATGTCTGAAACTGTTTGATTTATTCTCACAGCGCTCACGCACCAAAGCGGTTTCTCATTTTATAACAAGATTGCTCATGATGATTGCTAATGATGGTGCTAATATTTCATTAAAATAGATGTTTTACCAATACCCACATATTTTTGTTGGGCTTTTAAACATGTGAAATTCTTACTAGATTATTATTCATTCTACATTATTTTGGGCTTATTTTACCCAGATCTGGCAACAATGGCATCAATTTGAGGTGGAAAACCTGTTTGGAAACCATCATTTCTACAACCATCTGATGAC